TACATGAAATTACCCATTACCACAGGGGTACAACAAAGGGACTGAGGGGCAGGTATGCAGACTTGTGAAAAGTTTGTATGGATTAAAGCAAGCTTCTCAGGAGTGGAATTGTGAGCTTTCCACAAAACTGAGGGAGTTTGGCCTTTCACAGTCTGCTCAAGATCACTGCCTTTTTACACAAAAGAGTGGATCAGATTTCCTTGCTATGTTGGTCTACGTGGACGATGTTCTTATCACTGGAACAGATAATGATCATATTGCTGCTTTGAGAGCATATCTACATCAGCTTTTCACTATATAGCATCAGTCAGAGAAAGTCAGAGAAAGTATGTTCAAGATCTATTAAACATAAACGCACCATAGACTAGTTATCTCCTTTATATTTCAACAGTCTAACCCTAAAAATAAATAATAACAATGTTATATAAAGCATAAACTATAGCACAGGCAGACATATAAACCAATAAATAAATAAATTCCACAAATTTCAGTACTCCATGTACAGCAAATTATCCAGACAAGACCACAAAGAGACTGTTCAAACTAATAGCATATTTAGTGAAGGGTTTAAGATCATGAAAACGGGTGGTGCTGGCATTTTCGATTTGGCCATGGTCTATAAATAGCTTTAGGCTCTGGATTAAACTTGATACCCAAGTTCTTAAGCTCTTGTGACAGAATAAAGACCCCAGCACTTTTAATGCAAACAACTGTTGTTACATTACCCTTTTCCAAAGCCACCACAAATCAGCCGAAAAGACCTGTGCCATGTGCTTATTTTGCACTTTTATAATGGAAAATAATCAAGATGCATACTCATTAACCAATTTGGGATTTGAGATGGTTAAGTATGATAACAACAGAAGAGCTTTAGAAAATATGTAAGGGCCTGCTTTTGTCGATCAACTAAGGATCACGTTTAATAGAAGCAAAGGTTGTGACTGGATACAAGGAAATTTATATATCACATCTGAATGCTTTTTGAATGTAAGACATCAATGACAAACTATTAATCAGATTCACAGGTCACAACCTACCAACACCCTCAACTGAAACACCCGCAAGAGGTTTGCTATGACTGGCTACAAAACACCATGAGCATGTAAAGATTTATTTAAAAGCAATGCAAAGAAACAATAAATAGGGGTTGGGTAGAAAGCCTCAGGCCATTTGGGAGAAAAAAAAAAGGAAAAGGCAAAGGGAAGAAAAAAAGTTATTACTACATATTTATTACAACTTGAATACAAGGATGGATCAATGTAAGTACTCTTTTCATCTACATGCATTTTTAAGATTGTGAAGATTAGGATTTTCCAAGATAATGGGCATAAAATAAAATTATGCAAAATTAGCTAGACCACAGCTACACAGTTTTGTATTGCAATATTATGCCCTATACCCTTACTATTATATATGAATGCGTTGGCTGCTACAATATAAGTAAACAGAAAAGGAGACTATTTCACTACCAACTTAAAACAGTTCAAAGGACACAAACTTTGAAAATGGTGTTCCAGGCTAGCATGTTTCTCACACATCAAAAAATCATACAAGGCCCGGACACCCTTATGTCTAATCTTCAAAACTTACATCACTATTAAAGTGCATAGAAGGCCATCCATATCACAGATTTAAGAAGTACTGTTCCTATCCAAATCTACAATCATTTAATTCATATTGCATCTTCGTCATTTTACAGTCCTAGCTGAAACATAAAGGGCTCTTACAACCAATGAATTTTAATCCACTTTAACTCCCATCAACCAGTTTTTAGCATCATCAACCCAAGTCCCCTGAATTCACAAGCAATAGACTAGAGGCATGCAAAGAGTAAAGAAATTATCACTGGGTTACTGAACAACAAACAATAAATGCAATATCCTCGAAAAGAAACTCAACAACCATACTAAAAAAATTAAGAGCAAAACAATACAACTCAGTCTATAACTCTAACACCCATCAGCAGCAACTCATTCAAATATGTCCAGAAGTATATTCCTTCAATGCCGATGTTCGTGAGTTTAACAGCAAAAATCATCAATAGTGATGTGAAAAACCAAATAGCATGGTTCCATTTAGGGCTCCAAGAAGGAGTCTGTTGGGATCCAATTAGGATCTTCAAGGGGACAAAGAAATACCTTGTACGGCAGATCGACCAACCAATTGATCTTCTCCTCAGTCGACCAGCGGAGTCTGGCCCTGCGAGTTCACTTGTCCGGTCGGTTGTGTACAAAAGATAATGTCTTGAGGTACTTTCACTTGCAAAAAATAATTTCGCACATGATAAGTACTAAACACAAATGACAAACCTAAATTACAAGAAAAACAATATGTATGTCTTTATTTTAATACTTTCCAAAGCCATATAACAAACCAATTTTCTGGCATCCAACTCCAAGGATAAAAAAAACCACAACACAATATAATAATAAAGTGTCTTGTGTGCTACAGTGCTTCCTATATGATATCACAAGCTAAATTTTCCATAAAATAAAAATAAATTGAAAAATTCATCAACAAGAAAGCACAAATCCAAATAAAAAAAACCAAATCTCAGTATATTTTTCCACCAATGAGTCAATAACAATAGAAACAACTAATCTAGTAGTTTGGCTCAAGGGATTTTAATTGATCAATTTTTTTTCCTAAACAAATAAAAGATTCAAAATATATACATCTCTAAAATTGTTGAAAGTCACAATTTTGCTGATGAGCGATGATTGATTTGAAGCATATGAATATATATATATATATATATATATATAAAAAAAAAAAAAAAA